GGGACAGAGCCAGCAACATGGGGTGGCAGGTGGAGCCGGTCCACGAGAGAACCTGGTTTAAAAATCGGCTCCCCGTGCAGACCGGATCCCACCTGCCACCCCATGCTCCTGCCTCTACTACAGAGGCAGCAAGGAGTATGTGTGTGTGGTCACTTGGATTAACCAATAAGCCCAGGTTTACCAATTAATTGTTTAAACGACTATACACTAACATCCCTAGTGTGTAGTTGTGTCCATGTGTGCACAAAGCTATCTCTTGCACTGAGCTTCTGCAATAGCCAGAAAGTGAGGAAATCTGTGTGGGACACAGCAGTAGTGTTACCACCTCATTGTTGCATAAGAAGAATTTTCACTATTATTTCCCAAGCAGGTTGCAGTGTCCGTGGCTACACTGGTGCAAATTGCCATTTAGCATATTCAAATGACTTGAAAGAAGAATTGTAGGGGCGCAGTCACACAGAACTGAGCCAGGGGCCAATGGTTAGCTTAATTTGAATGGAAGATGCCAACTGAGCCCCACAAACAACCCCCTTGCCCCTTAGGGTCCCTGTAGTGCGAAACGGGACATGGTCAACCTTCCAAGTGAGAAAAGGCAGCTCAGGTTGGGCCAGGGATGAACCGTGTGTGACAGAGCTCATGGCATCTCCAGTCTGGCTTTGCTGCTCCTGAGACACCCCAATTGACCCTCTTGCGGCACGAAAGGATGGCTGAGGGAGAGGTGTGTTCTTTAATTCTCGCCGAGGCAGCTCTTCCCTGAGCGCCTGGTAAAACCATGCTCCTGGGAGTTTGCCCCCGACAGGTTCATTAGTTACCTGGTGTGCTTTTCAGCTTGCAGCACTCTGAGCTTCAGGACTATCCAGGGCTGCAGGTAGGTTCCAGTACAGGGGGGCAAGTGAGTTGTCAGAAACAGCCAGAGGATACAGCAATTGGGAATTGTGGGAACAGCAATGGAGAATTAGCCAGGCTCAAACCCAGGTATCTGCACCTTGGCAACCATGCCGCTGCACAGCAGGTGGGGAGGGCAGGTAGGTGGGGTAGGTTGCAGCCCAACCTGGATGCCTTCCCACATCTGCCAGACAAGCATTCCAGCTCAGGGTCTACTTTCTGGAAGGGTGCAATTAAGGGCCTTGAGTGCTGACAACAGGGAGGTTGGGTGTGTCTACACACCTCAGCACCTGGAGAACCTGCAGAATAGACACCCGCTGTGTGTGGATGTCACATTACTGGATTTTAAGGGGAGCAGCCAGATCACTGCTGCACCCAATAAGGGGGTATTGGCCCCGAAGTGAATACAAAGGGGGCCATGTGAGGTGTCACACGAAAGCTTCTGTTCTACTGATTCTGTATCTGCTATTCATGTCATTGTATAATATCTGTATGTGGAGTTATAAACACTCTGTGTGGATGCTGGAAAATTCTCGGTCTGTGGCTGAACAATGGACAAGGAATGCTCAAACAATGGCGATGCTCATTAGCAAGGGGACAATGAATCTCTAGGTGCCAATACACACCTCAGGAATGTGACTGATACCTGCAGAGCAGCATGGATAGGTTGAGAAGATGCCAGAGGAGGTATATAAGTGCCATGTGGCATCCTCCATCTTGTCTTCAGTTTTGCTCCTGATCCCAGATGCAGTCTTGCAGGGAACAACGAGCCGGAAACAACTGTGGACCCATCCTGACATAGGATGTACACCAGAGACTTTTAAGATAGCAGTTTATAATATCTCTGCTAAGAGCCTGCACTGAGAACTGGGGGATTCGATGGTTGTAATGTATTATCCTTTAACAACCTTACTCTCATGCTTTTCTTTCTTTTAGTAATAAACCTTTAGATTTTAGATTCTAAAGGATTGGCTCAGCGTGATCTTGCAGGTAAGATCCAGAGTGTAAATTGACCTGTGGGAACTGTGACAGAGAGAGTCTGCAGAACTGGAATTCATCTACAGATTTGACATCTTCAGCCTGGGTTTGAACAAAGTCGTTAACAGGTGGGCATATTACAAAGCCAATTTCTCCTGCCTTTAACATCTGCATTTCCACATCAAAAGCTAAGTATAGGACACATCCAGCTTGCTTAATTAACCTCATTAACACAGCCACATTAACGTGATTCTGTCTGCGTGAACAGAGTGTTGTGAGCAAGACAAGAGAATTTGTCATGCTGCTGTATTCTATGCAGATTAGGTCTCAACTGGAGTATTGTGTACATTTTAGGAAAGATATGGAGTAACTGGAGAAGGTCCAGAGAAGAGTAACAAAAATGATTAAAGGTCTAGAAAACATGAGCTATGAGGGAAGACTGAAAGAACTGGGCTTGTTTAGTTTGGAAATGAGAAGCCTGAGAGGGGACGTGAGAGCAGTTTTCAAGAATCTAAAAGAGTGTTACAAGGAGGAGGGATAAAAATTGTTCTCCTTGGCCTCTGAAGACAGGACAAGAAGCAATGGGCTTAAAGTGCAGCAAGGGAGGTTTAGGTTGGACATTGGGAAAAACTTCCTGTCGGGGTGGTTAAACACTGGAATAAATTGCCCAGGGAGGTTGTGGAATCTCCATCACTGGAGATATTTAAGAGCAGGTTAGATAGACATTTGTCAGGGATGACCTAGATCATGGGTTCCCAAACTGGGGGGTGTGTTCCCCTGGGAGGGCATGAAGGAATTCCAGGGAGGGGGGTGGAAGGCAACCCATCCCCCCCATCCCCCGGCAATCCCCTTGCTATTTTTGTTAGGTCAGTTCCTATTCTTTTTTCTTTTTTTTGCTCAACAAGTTTTGTTGCTGGGGGCAGGGAGGGGGCGTGAGGGTTTCTCAAAAAATCAAAAAGGGGGCGTGATGCCAAAAAGTTTGGGAACCACTGATCTAGATGGTGCTTGGTCCTGCTGTGGGGACAGGGGACTGGACTCAATGCCCTCTAAAGGTCCCTTCCATGTTCAGTGATCTATGATACTATGAGGTGCTACATTTGACGGGTACTTCTTCTGTTGTTATATATGTGTAAATCTTGGTTTCTGTTATTTCCACTCCAGTTCCTGGGTTTTACCCACAAAAGCTCATGACTTTATATTTTGGTTTGTCTGTAAAGTGCCACAGGACTACTTGTTATTTTTAAAGTGACAACCTGACACAGACACACACACTTCTTGTCATTTAAACAATATGATTTAAACAGCTGCCTTTATTGAAAGGAGAGGTTGTATTCTCTTTCCATGCCAGGAGTTTCCCCACTGCACATTTCTTCAGGTCAGCATGGTCTCTATGAATAGCAGCATATTAAAAGAGGAGGGCAAGTTCCACGTAGCAGTGCTAGACCAGAGGAACAGAAGCCTATATCCGGTAAACAGATCCCGCCCTTGAGGAGACAGGGAAGCGCTGGCACACGGCCCGACCCTGCACAAAGAGAAAAAGGAGTGATTTGCAGGTCACCAGAGCTGCACTGAAACTATGAGCTGTGGTCCAAATTTACACGCAGGGCGACTAAGGGAATGCTCCTAAGTCCTGAAAGAAAACTGGCCTGTCTCTCAGTGGGTATCTATCCCTGCCACTGACGACTTCTGGGCACTCAGCACTTCTTCTAAGCTCTTAAAAATGAATGTAGGCACCTAACTTTAGTGCATAAAGCCCTGTTTAAAACTCTCCTTTGCCATGAGACCTACAGAGACCTTGTTTGCCTGTATTCATCTCTTGTCTTATGTTTAGGGCATGTCTACACTACAGCCAGAGGTCGGCTTAAGGTATGCAATTCCGGCTTTCTAAATAATGTAGCTGTAGTTGACCTACCTTAAATTGAGCTTTGGCACTGTCCTCACAGTGGGAGGTTGATGGCAGAAACGGTAAGGAGTACTGGTGCAGATGAGGGCACTCTTAGTGTTCGATTTAGTGGGTCTATACGAGACTCGCTAAATCGAATGCTGAAAGATCAATTGCCCCAGTGTTGATTTCCTAGAAGTATAGAAGTACCCTCTGATTGTAAGCTCTTTGGGACAGGGCTGCCTTTGTTTTCTGTGTCTTTACAGTGCTCAGGTGAGTGGGATCCTACTCAGTGTTTCCTGTAAGATATGCACTTGTGCTCAGGAAAGATTCACATGCAGCCCAGATGATTAGCAGGGTGCACACAATCTGGTATTTTGTTTCCATTGGTAGTGCACATTCACCCATACCTCGGTGCACATAAAAATGTAATCCACACATGGATGGAAAAGATTAGAGGGAACATTGTTCCTGGTCTATGATTAGCAGACCCACCTGGAACAGGAATTACATCAACTGGAAAGAAAGGAGTGCGAATGTTGTTTGGGATCCTTTGGGTTTCAAACTCTTCCACCACGGTACCGACCACCTCTCCGGGATTTTGAGATCCCAACAGAACCAGCCCACTGGCACAGGGGTCTGATGTTCTGAACCCAAATGGAATCAATGGTTCTTTCCATTAACTTCAGCTGTCTCTGGATCAGGCCCTTTGGGAAGGAGAGGAGCATGGTGGGAAGGCTGGATGCTGGGGATCCCTCCACATTTAAAGCACTTTGGAATGGTGCCACCGTGAAGGGAAATGAAAACAGGTGGCCCGAATGGCTCCGTTACTAGATCACATATAATGCTGCTGTTGCAAAGGTTGCTCTGAAGGCTCCTGACAACATCACTCACAAAAATGAGTAAAGTTACCTTCCGTTGCCATTAGGATCTGGCTGTCGATCGTGGATTTGAATTTCCCGGGCTTCATTTACATATTGCCGGGTGCCGCCATTTTTAAATGTCCGCGGCTAAACACGGCACGGACTAGGTAGTCGGATTAGGCTTCCTATTCCGAACTACCGTTACTCCTCGTTCCATGTAAACCTCATTTTTTAAGGGCGAGCGTTTTTTCAAAAAAGGGGTTTTTTCCCCCCAAAAAACATTGTCCAGACTACTTTTACTTTCAAAAGCTCCTCCTTCAAAAGTGAGATCAGAAGAAGATATGCAAATTCCCACAGAATTTGCATATCCTCTTTTGAAAATAAAACGTAGTCCAGACATCGCCTAAATGTAAGCGGGGGAGTGGTCCCGCTATTGTGGGGAGCTTTCCTGGCTTCTATACCACCCCGGTGAAATCGACCAGTGAAATGATCTTAGTCCCCAGCTCCTTGGGCTGTGTGTGTCTGGCTTTCTCACTGCAGGACGGCCCCTGAACACAACTTGTGCTCCTTGGGCTGTGTGTGTCTGGCTTTCTCACTGCAGGACGGCCCCTGAACACAACTTGTGCTCCTTGGGCTGTGTGTGTCTGGCTTTCTCACTGCAGGACGGCCCCTGAACACAACTTGTGCTCCTTGGGCTGTGTGTGTCTGGCTTTCTCACTGCAGGACGGCCCCTGAACACAACTTGTGCTCCTTGGGCTGTGTGTGTCTGGCTTTCTCACTGCAGGACGGCCCCTGAACACAACTTGTGCTCCTTGGGCTGTGTGTGTCTGGCTTTCTCACTGCAGGACGGCCCCTGAACACAACTTGTGCTCCTTGGGCTGTGTGTGTCTGGCTTTCTCACTGCAGGACGGCCCCTGAACACAACTTGTGCTCCTTGGGCTGTGTGTGTCTGGCTTTCTCACTGCAGGACGGCCCCTGAACACAACTTGTGCTCCTTGGGCTGTGTGTGTCTGGCTTTCTCACTGCAGGACGGCCCCTGAACACAACTTGTGCTCCTTGGGCTGTGTGTGTCTGGCTTTCTCACTGCAGGACGGCCCCTGAACACAACTTGTGCTCCTTGGGCTGTGTGTGTCTGGCTTTCTCACTGCAGGACGGCCCCTGAACACAACTTGTGCTCCTTGGGCTGTGTGTGTCTGGCTTTCTCACTGCAGGACGGCCCCTGAACACAACTTGTGCTCCTTGGGCTGTGTGTGTCTGGCTTTCTCACTGCAGGACGGCCCCTGAACACAACTTGTGCTCCTTGGGCTGTGTGTGTCTGGCTTTCTCACTGCAGGACGGCCCCTGAACACAACTTGTGCTCCTTGGGCTGTGTGTGTCTGGCTTTCTCACTGCAGGACGGCCCCTGAACACAACTTGTGCTCCTTGGGCTGTGTGTGTCTGGCTTTCTCACTGCAGGACGGCCCCTGAACACAACTTGTGCTCCTTGGGCTGTGTGTGTCTGGCTTTCTCACTGCAGGACGGCCCCTGAACACAACTTGTGCTCCTTGGGCTGTGTGTGTCTGGCTTTCTCACTGCAGGACGGCCCCTGAACACAACTTGTGCTCCTTGGGCTGTGTGTGTCTGGCTTTCTCACTGCAGGACGGCCCCTGAACACAACTTGTGCTCCTTGGGCTGTGTGTGTCTGGCTTTGTCGCTGCAGGACGGCCCCTGAGCACAGTTGCGCTCCTTGGGCTGTATGACAGAACAGCGCTTAGAATTGTACAGCGGTTTGCATCTTCCCAGCACAGAGCAGCCAGGTGAGCAGTGAGGGAGAGAGAGTATAGAGAGGGAGAGTGTAGTCCAGAGGCAACGGTTGAACTGTTCAAACCTGGATGTTTTAAATAAGCATTTTTGTAGAATTGTAGGGTTGGAAGAGGCCTCAGGAATCGAGTCCAACCCCCTGCCCAAAGCAGGACCAACCCCAACTCAATCAACCCAGCCAGGGCTTTGTCAAGCCGGGACTTAAAAACTTCTCGGGATGGAGATTCCACCACCTCCCTAGGGAACCCATTCTAGTGCTTCACCACCCTCCTAGGGAAATAGCATTTTGCTCCTTGTTCTGCCATCTGTCATCACTGAGAACAGCCTCTCTCCATCCTCTTTGGAACCTCCCTTCAGGAAGTTGAAGGCTGCTCTCAAATCCTCCCTCCCTCTTCTCTTCTGCAGACTAAACAAACCCAAATCCCTCAGCCTCTCCTCATAAGCCATGTGCTCCAGCCCCCTCATCAACACTCTCTCCAATGTATTCACATCCCTTCTGTAACAGTGGGTGGGGGCCAGAATTGGGTGCAATCCTCCTGATGTGTCTAGCATTTTGGAGCCGTGGCACCCATCAAAAATTAGGTGACTTATCTGGGTGCCTAAATCTGCCTGGAAAACACGCGCCCAAGTTCTGGTCAGAGATCACACAGTCTGAACTTGCAGGCTAGTTCTCAAGCCAGCAGAGCTTCAGTGACACAGCTGTCCTGTGTTATCCTCTCACTGCTCCCTCGTGCTGCGGCCCTCTTATGATGCATGCATGGTGCCTTGCACGATGGGGCCCCGATTCCCAGTTGGGGGCGTCTCACTGCCACCACAACATAAAACCTCCATTGTAAAAATAATCCCTGCTGGTTACTTTGCCTCTCACCTGGAGCAGCGTGGAAGAGGAGGAGGAGAAGAACAAGGAGCAGGCAGAGGCTTCTCATGGCGGGAGGTCGGCTGGGATCTCAGTGTTACTGTGGAGAAGAGGTGCCAGGCCAAGCGGGCGGGAGGCTGTTTGCCACAAGGAAACAGAGAGCCCCGGTATTTATAGAGCTCTGTGGCCTGGGAAGTGTTGACCCATGGGGCCCCCGGTGCACCTGGTGCTGACGGCTGCCAGAAATCCCTGCAACCAGCTGCACACATCACTTGCCCTGAACAATCACCCAGAGTGTCACACGTATGAACTGGAGGTGACGGTCCTTCTCTATCCAGGCAGTGCAGCTGCACCGGGCATGCTGTGGGCACCCCAGGGGCTCTGACAATGAGACAGTTGAGAAAAGCAGAGTAGATTTAGAATGGGGAAGGGGGGTGACACTTTGTGTGGAATGTGTCCAGGGGTGGAATTGAAAGCAGTTCTGGTTGCATGTCAACCTAGGCCTCCGGTTCCACATGCCACCAGGGCTCACGTATGAACTGGAGGTGACGGTCCTTCTCTATCCAGGCAGTGCAGCCGCACCGGGCATGCTGTGGGCGCCCCAGGGGCTCTGATAATGAGACAGTCGGTGACTCCAGCGAGAAAAGGAGAGTAGATTTAGAATGGGGAAGGGGGGTGACACTTTGTGTGGAATGTGTCCAGGGGTGGAATTGAAAGCAGTTCTGGTTGCATGTCAACCTAGGCCACCGGTTCCACATGCCACCAGGGCTATGTCTTCTTCACTGCCAGCTTTTGCCGGCAGAGTATGCAAATGAAGCACTGATTAACATTTTGTCATGCTTCATTTGCATAATCTATTCAAGCATGCTCTCTGCTGGCGAAAGCCAAGTAGAGGGACAACTGGGTGAATGCTAGGGGAGTATGTTGTGTAACCAAGCCTCATGTGCACATTGTGCCTTTGTGATCTGGGCCACAGGATGCGAATGAGCCAGGAAACTCCTTTCTTTTCACTATTTACTCCCCACGAGCAGAGCTTGTTCCTCAGATTCAAGAGCTGACCTTGTTTCCAAACCGCAGCCTGTGCCACTAGACCCAGCATTGAGGTGGGGTGGGAGCGGGGCTGGATTAAGATGCAGGCAACCCAGGTGACTAGCTGGGGTGCAAGGCTTGAGATGCATCGGGCTCACAGATTTGCAGATCCCAGGATGCAAATGTATCGTCTTATGTGACTGGGATCAATCATGCATGCAAATTGTGCCAAAAATGGGCTACCAGTAAAAAATAAGGTACTGAAAAAACTTAACAACTGTGTGTGTGTGTGTGTGTGTGTGTGTGTGCACCTCTCACCAGTACCTCTCCCTAGTCTCTCTACTGGAAATACCTCACCTGATGCATTTTAGGACTGCATTAGCTTTTTTCACAGCTAACTTGCATTGGCAGCTCTTAGTCATCTGGTTGCTTCTTGGCTAACAAGTTGTCTTTGGAAATGAGGGTGTGTCCTACCACCCAGCACAACCTCAAGTTAAAACTATCGATTTAAGCTTACACTTTCATTTATGTCTGCCAATCAGAGAGAATGGACATGTGTTTCAGGGGAACCCCTTTCCACTAGAAAATGCTGTTTCATCAAAATGTTTCATATGTCGATTGTAATAGAAACACTTCTGCAGAGTTTGAAATTGAAGGAGCATTTTCATTTTGACCGTCTCATTTTGTTTCTATTCTATTCTATTCTATTCTATTCTATTCTATTCATCATAAATATATTTTTCAGAAGTTTCTTTCTGTGAAAATATAAAAAAATTGACTTTTCCCCTGAATTTGGATGAAAACAGATTTTGAAATGTGAGAATTTCCTGCAGGAGAGAATTTTTCTGTCCTTAATCACCTCTGTCCCCATTGAAGGCTGTTTCATGGTATCCCTTTAGTCTAGAGGGGTTAGTTTTCAGAATAAATTTCAGGTATTATCACTGCTGAGTGGGCAACACCAGAACTTAATTTCTAGAAGGTGTGAGAATGTATTGTCTATCGAAAAATAGCGGAGGCTTAAGTTTATACCTGAAAGAAGTGGGCATTTCTGGGGCTTCCTTCAGTTACAATATTTTGAGCCTCAGAATCGTAATGAACTGGAATGGAAATCATAGAACAATATTCGCCCCTCACCCCCAGAAATAAGGGTAAGTTTAATGCATGAAACTAATATGTGGTGCTGATTCATCTCTCCCTTAATACCAGTTTTAAATCAGCAAGACTCCATTGATTTGAAAGGAATGACTCCAATTTATTTCTTAGGTCGTCCACTCCTCAGGGCAGAACTTCATTTCAGCTTTCTGTTTGTCCAAGGGGGGCCTGACCCTGATCGTTGTCACCCATGGGGCTAGCTTGCCTTTCTTATATCAACATAGTTAATACGTAATCTGCAGATCAGGCTCCATCGTGGTCTCAGTGTGCTACAGCTGGATAAATATTTACCAATACCAATAAATAAAATGGGAATGAGAGGCAGATTGTGTGATGTGTATCTACTTGGGAACAATACCAATAAATAAAATGGGAATGAGAGGTGGATTGTGTGATGTGTATCTACTTGGGGACGCACTGCACTTAAATTTACTTTTCCACTGTTGATAATTAAATGAGCTGCCCCAAAACTAGAGGGAGAACCTCAGATACAACAATAGAGGTTTATTATAGTGACATGTGTCACATAATACATAGGCATTATTTTTTTTGCTAGAGTAAGTAAATAGGACCGAAGCCTGGAGCCCTTTGCATTTTCACAGAACTGGGCAGACAATAACTAAATAACCCTTCACAAAGCAGGCATGGGCTAGACACTGAGCCAAGACAGGTTTGAGCCCCACGTCCTATAGATCCCCAAGTGGAACAGCTGATGTTAGTACCCGTTAGAAATGCTGCTCTTCACAGGTTTCTGTCTTACCTGGAGCAGGCTGGAAGAGGAAAAGGGCAACAGCAAAATGAAGTTACGGGATCTTCACGGCTGAAGGTCAGATGGGGCTGTGGCCTCACTGCAGAAGAGAGGCACCAGATGGAGTGAGATGGAGAAACCGTGCAAGATGGAGACAGAATGTCGGCATGTATAGGACTCTGGGGGCTGTGAAATATTGTTGGGCAGGATTCTTACTCTGCATATTTGATACAATCTCTACCCCAAAATCCCAGTAAATAGTTGTAACCACCACTTAACCTGGATGGTCACCGAGAGTACCATGTGTATGCCCAGGTAGGCGAGAGTACCTCTCCATACGGCTTTCAAGGTTGAATTGAGACTGCTGTGTTTGCTCTAGGGCTCCTTGTTATAAACAAGGCTGCCATGGCAGAGATAAAGCAAAGAAGAGAATCTTATACGCATTCTCCACCATATTCAGATCTTCCCCTCTGACAGTGGCCATGTGGACGGCAGGGGCTATGAGTAAGCACAGGAACGGGAAGGACTGGCATTTGCTGGACTTCGCTATCCCTTTCTGCCGCTGTAGAGGTGAAATTAAAAAAAAAAATTCACTTGTAACCATAAAGTTGAATACATTGCTTGAAAGCATTTTTACAAAAATTGACTCATGTTCCTAAGTTACTTAAGTTTTGCAAGAATACCCTCCCCCAATAGGTGACTAAATATGAATGTAGGGGTAATTCTCATAAGAACATAAGAACAGCCGTACTGGGTTAGACCAAATGTCTATCTAGCCCAGTATCCTGTCTGCCAACAGTGGCCAGCGCAAGATACCCCAGAGGGAGTGAAGAGATCAGAGAATTCTCACATGGTCCCTTTTCTGTCACCCATTTCCAGCCCCTGACAAATAGAGGCTAGGAACATCATTCCTACCCATCCTGGCTAGCAGCCATTGATGGACCTATGCATTTATTAGTTCTTTTTTGAACCCTGTTAAAGTCCTGATCTTCACAGCATCAAATTCTCTGAGAATTTTGGCCTCTGTGTCCTCTGCTGCATTCATTTGTTTCTCCCTTGGCCACTCTTCCAGCATGTGGGGTGTACAATCCAATGGAATTTTCCTCAATGGACATTTTAAACAAAAATCAAAATATGTAATTTCATTGAAATTATACGTGGAAAAATCCCCCCAAATAAATATATCCTGTTTGCCCTCCATTTTCTTTCCTTTTTTATTGGCAGACATTTTTTCTGCTTTTCTATATTTTCAGGTTCTCAGTGAAAAACTGAAATGTGCCATGCAAAGTAAAAAGCTATTATAAACATTTTTTATTTACTGAAAATGCAATATTCCATCATCAAACAATTTAAAGAGAGCATTTTTTAAAATCTCTCCTAGAGGAGCAAGCTGATGTGTCAACTAATTAGTCCCAAGCACTTTTCACTTGGGCTCTGGTTTATATCACAGCTTGGAAGATGCTTTAGTGGTGCAACAAACCATTCAAGAACATAAGAAAGTGATTGGATGAATGGAACACAGTGCTACACTCCAAAAGAGCAGCTCATGAAGCCACATGCAGTGTAGCCTAGTGGAAAGTGCAGGGAAGTGAGATTCAGAAACTCTGGGTTCTGAGTCTAGTTCTACCAGTGGCTTGTTGGGGCACTGCAATATGCCTCAGTTTTTCCATCTATAAAATGGGAGTAATGCAGACAACCTCCTTTGTAATCTTTTCTATATTTTCAGGTTCTCAGTGAAAAACTGAAATGTGCCATGCAAAGTAGAAAGCTATTATAAACATATTTTATTTACTGAAAATGCAATATTCCATCATCAAACAATTTAAAGAGAGCATTTTTTAAAATCTCTCCTAGAGGAGCAAGCTGATGTGTCAACTAATTGGTCCCAAGCACTTTTCACTTGGGCTCTGGTTTATATCACAGCTTGGAAGATGCTTTAGTGGTGCAACAAACCATTCAAGAACATAAGAAAGTGATTTGATGAATGGAAGACAGTGCTACACTCCAAAAGAGCGGCTTATGAAGCCACATGCAGTGTAGCCTAGTGGAAAGTGCAGGGAAGTGAGATTCAGAAACTCTGGGTTCTGAGTCTAGTTCTACAAGTGGCTTGTTGGGGCACTGCAATATGCCTCAGTTTTTCCATCTATAATGGGAGTAATGCAGACAATCTCCTTTGTAAAGTGCTTTGATGTTCACTAATGAAAAGTGCCATATAAGAGCCTCTCTTCACAGGT